TTTTTTTTTTTTTTTTGCTTCACTTTTATATTTAACATTTTATATGGACCAAAAAAAAAAAAAAACATAACAAAAATAAAAGTTTTAAAAGTTAAGATTTCTTGTTTTTATTGTTTTTCACGTTGTATGTTTTGGAATTGGTGGTTTTCTTTAAGAAGGTAACTAATGTTTTCATACAATGTTTTTGTTTTTTTTGTGTTTCATTGACACTATCGGAACAGAATATTTTTGTGCATTAAAAAAAATTACAATTTTATTTATTTGGTAATAGTTTTGGATCGTTCAGACATGTTGAATTTTTTTTTTTTTTTTAAAAGTGTATGACCCCTGTCTCAAACAGTCAGTATGCAGTGTAGGCAGGAACCTTTCACATACACGAAGTAGGAATATGAAAACTAGCATGTAAACACCTTTTTATAAGGCTCTGTAGCAGTCGTGTGCTTCATACAAGCGATCTGCCGGCTCTATAGCCGGCGGATCGCTTGTATATTAACGGGCATCGCTGCCTCTTTTTCAAATAGCGGGGATTTCCCGCTCGCGCGCCCGAGTGGGCGGATGTAACAGGACGTGTATACACGCCCAGTTACATCCAAGAAGCTCCCGGCAGGCCGTGTATACACAGCGGCTGGCCGGGAGGTAGTTAAAGACTGGACAATCAGCCGAAAATATGGGTCTTAACGTGCGAATTGTGGCCGTCAGCGACTAGTCAATGTTAGGGCAGAACGGAGAGTGGCAAGACCGGTACAAGACAACAGAAGGGCAACAGTGCAGTGTCAGATTCCTCGCATCACCTTTCAACATCTCGTGGTGTCACGTGGCGGCCCAACAAAGTCATCTCGTGGCCCAACGAAGTACTGATGGGGGTGGTCATAATAATCTGGCCACTCAATGTATAACCCTCTGCAGGGCTGTGGGAGGCTGAAGTGGCTCATCACTGGCACACTGCAAGGGACCAAAAAAAACCATGAGCCTTCTTTGGCCACGCAGCACACCACAACACGTGGTGTTTTGGCACTGACCACTACTGCATAGTGTATATCATGAATGCCACTGTACTATGGTATGCTTGGAAAAACACCTTACCCTAAAGGTGCCCATACACCTTGCGATTTATCGTAGGAAATCCCGCGATTGTACGATAATTGCAAGGTGTATGGAAGGCGTGCAACCGTTTCTACTGTACAGTCGCACGTCTGTTGTCTAACGAGCATGTTTGAAAACCCGCCGAGAATCGTATGATTGTCGGCGGATTTGTGACATGCTGCGGAGACAAATGCCAAACGGGCCGGCAAGCACACACTGCCCGTTCAGCATTGCAGTCATCGGAAGCCCGATCTGCCTGTCCAAGATTGGCAGATCGTACAAGCTTTTAATTAGCTTACAACCATCGCAAGACAAAAGTCTTGCGATGGTTGTAAGGTGTATGGCCACCTTAACAGCTGTGAATAGGCTCTTTGGGTCTTCTTGGGAGCTCTAGAAAAAAAAAACTAAAGGTAAATACAAGAACCTCCCAGGTGCCTAAATGAGATGTCTGACCCTGCGCTCATTTTACTTTGTATAACTTTAGTAAATGTTTTATATGAAGCAGGCGAGATGTAGACATGACATTCCCAGTGCTTGGCTTGGATCGTTTAATTTAGATATCGGAAACTGGGCAAAATTGTTAACTGCTGGACCTCCTATATAGATTGTTCAGCCTCGCAGAAATGGGGCTCTGTCTGAGAACTGGTATGATTGTAGTAATACTGGAGTGTTTCATTTATTTTAAATTCCACACAAAAGCTGATGCTTTTCATTAGGGCTGCTTGAGAAACACTTGCAATATTACAAAAATGATGAAGTATTAATCATGTTTAAAAGGATAAGTACATTAGCAGTTTAAGACTGTATTTAAGCGTGAGCGATGACAGGTGATTTTGGGGTGTGTATGGAGGGTTGGGAGTTGCACATTTATTTTTTTTTGTAAGAGTTTTCAGGCTTGAGCATCATTGTTTTAACCAATGGAAAGCTAGTTACTAGGAGGAGATGGTTCTTTACTGTCGGCTTGAAAAAACACGCTTTTTCTGGCATTCCCATTAAAGTCTCAGGCCAGAAATGCCACATTCTGCTTTTAAAAATAGCTTGTGTACCTTTTGTGAACAGAGCAATTTAAAAGCATGTGGTTGTTGAGCTTATTGGAGCTTTGATCTTCAAAAATCCAAAACTCTCAGGTGTAAATCTGAGCTAGAAAGATACTACTTTCCTTCATATTATGTAACACACAAACACGTGTGTGCAAAAGTGCACCGAATGAACTGGGTTGGCATTGCAGTGGAAGACGTCCTGCAACTGTGCACCCTTTCCTCTTGCACAAGAGAAAAAAAATGTGTACTATAAAAAGGATCAAGGGGTTACAAATCAATGGGTTTGGATGTATAAAAACATTTAAGTGTTAAAAATGTGCATATATTACATATGTATAATGCTATGTAGTTCACAAGCAAAGATATCTGGAGTATGGGTGTCAGTGGGACTGTCCTATCTGTAGATATATAGAGGATGAACATTGGAAGCTGGTATAAAGTGGTGTACAAGCTTTGTAGTAATGGACTATACACTTTCCTGTTTACTGTTACATCATATTATATTTTGTGACAAATATACATGCCTGCCTACACATATAGAAGATATACTATGTGAGATACAAAGTTATATCATTTGGTATAGCACACCGCATGGATAAGTGTATGTTTACAGAGAATAAGATGCAAATATGAAATGTGCAAAATAAATTGGATAGTCAGTCAGCTTATAGCGAGAGAAGCCAAAGGGAACCCATAAGATCTTAGCTTAAAGGAGAAGTATTGGAAGAGCAACAGCACTCTTAGCAATACTTTGAGCTGGCATGTGACACTGCTGCTGTCACACACCGACTCTGATTGTGTGACCGCTGATCGTTAAGATCACGATCTACTCCCTGCAGAGAGCAGTGACCGTCATTCAATTCTCCCTTCAGGGATTCCCCTCTCTGTTCCAGCACTCATTGGAGGGACAGACGGGAGGGGGTGGGCACAGCTGGCTCTAGAGAGGCATAGCCAGCAGTCAATCAGGCAGCGCGGTGGATCCCAACAGCGTTGTTAGGAACTTTCCCTGCTGCAGTGCAGCATGGCCTTGCACTGTCAGCAAATAGTGGGCAGTAGCCTGCTAGATGTTGGCTTTGGGTCATTTGTAAATTTACTCCTGTGACCCAAAAGAGGAGTAAGGCTAAAAAAAAAAAAAAGGTTTGGCTATAGTTCTTTTTTTGGTGAGTATTTCCTTCTATGTGTACAGCGATTGCTCACAATAAGAAATCATCCAGCAGCTGTGACTGTCTATGATAGCTGTTTATAATATCATTTAATGGCTATGTCATAGCTGACATGGTGATCACATGATCAGGAATTATGCTGAATGCTCCTGCTCATGCAAAACATACTATAGATTATTGTTCCCTTTAGAAGGGATATCATCCAACCACTTGAGTCCCCTGGACATTTTCTCCCTAAATCCCCTTCAGTCCAAGAGCACCCCCCTCCATTTCCACGATGTCTTGGTTAAGTACATTATACCTTGTATAATATATTACGGTAGACTAGAAATGCTACATCATTGTTGTCTGGACAGATAGGGCTTTAATTTGGTAGCAAATTGGGTACATAGATCTTTTGACTGTACATCAAAGGACATCTGCAGTTCAGTTCTGTAATCACTGGATTATGTGAAATAAACCTTATGTAAACAGATAACTTTCAAATACTGTAAATCTGGAATAAAAGATGCGCCCCTTACACTGAGGTCACGCAGCATTGTGGGTTTTCTATAGAGAACCCAAGCAGCAGCTGTTTGCTTTCAGTCTCTCTCTTAAGCTTCCTTTACACACCTACAGGTGCGTTTTGGTATTCCTGCAGCTGGAATCCCAAATATTCCATTTAGAAGTGGCCGCTGTCACCCATTCATAATGATTGGGTGACATCGGACGCATTTGAAAGCAACAGTCCAGTGATGGTGATGTCTTTCTAACTGCATGCAATCATATCACATACAATTACATGCGGAGTGCAGGTGGGCTGCCACTTTCAAATGTAGCTGTAAACATTAAGTTGAACGGGTGCCAGCGACCTCTTCTAAATGGCATATTTGGGATTCCAAAATGTATCTACTCTGTAGGTGTGAGTGAAGTCTTATTGAAATGCTGCGGGGATCCATCTGAATAGAGCAGTAGTGGAGTGGTTAAAGTGACCTTAAACCCTCAGATTTTTTAACATAAAACAATACTGTAATGTGCGCCTTACTGTAATCCATGGTTGTTTCCCTTCTCTTTGCTGCTCTTCCTTTTAAATCCGTATCTCTTCTCATGCTGGGCAGAACTTCTGTTTTGCAGCAGACTGCCTTGTCTCTGGAATGGCTACATGGTGTCTGTGTATAAGTTTGCAACCTGAGCCAGCACTCCAGGAAGAGGCACTCAGCTGCAAAGGGAAGTTCTCCCCGAGCATGAGAAGACATGAGGATTTAAAAGGAAGAGCAGCAAAGAGAAGGGAAACAACCATGGATTACAGTAAGGCACACATTACAGTATTGGTTTATGTTAAAAAAAAATCTGAGGGTTTAATGTCACTTTAAGTCTCTTTGGATGACCTTTTGGCTTGTATACATAAAAGCAGCCTTGCGCTCCTTTTTGATGTCACCGTCAGGTTACTGGTCCTGAGAAATGTCATGCAGCCATCGCTGGAGTCCATGTAGAAAGGAACTGGGTGCAGATGTGCAGTGCTAAGATACAACAAAAGATGAAAAAACAATGAAACAAATTGTGTTATTACAGTGGTGTCCTGAGGCGGGGGTGACACCCCGTTGTGACGTCATTGCGCATGCACGGTCATCCATGTGATGGATGCTGGCAGAGAGAGGAGGCGACGTTCACCCGGCAGGATAAGTACCCTCTTCTCTCCTGCAACTGTATGGCTCTCGGCCCATGACCAAGTGCCTGACTTTTCAGAGGGGGGTGACACCAAAATAACTATTAGTCATTTTAGTGTCACCCGGGTGCGGGCTGCACAGAGGCGTGACGCCACTGTGTTATTGTAAAAAAAAAAAGGCAATAGTTTATTAGTAAACCAAACGTTACACATGGTACACCTGTCATATATGCAGTAAAATCTGTGATAACAGTTCTGTCCTGGAACGTTTTGTATTAAAAGGAAAATAGGTTAGCAACCCTGTTAGATAGGCAACATAAACACTTCTCTCCCCAGCCATGTTAAACATTATTAGACATATTTATAAAACAAAATACTGCCTACTGCCTTCATGTGTTTACTAAAATATCTCCAGCACCCCACAAAGAAAGCGGAGGTGGGGCGCCCCACACAATCGAATGACATGGTGGAACGCACGCCGCGGAACGCACGCACTTCCGACTCACGAGAATGACGCCTATATTTGTTGTCCAATGCCAGCCAAGAGACACATTGGATTTAGTTCCCGCCTCTCACGGGTTACCTGGGAGACGTAGCTGAGCTCTGGGTGGTGAGTTCGTCTCTGCTGCCACGTCACCATTGGTGGCGTCAGCGCGGTAGGCGGGGGGAAGGCAGCAAAAGATGGCGACCTCTATCCGGGAAAAACAGACGGGTGAGAACCGGGCGGAATGAATTGAAAGTAGGATTGTCATGTGATATGATTGAGACTGTACTGATATGAGCGGGGTGGGATGGCGAGTGCGGGGTGTTTTGCTTCGGATACCGGATACGGGGACAGTGTGCAGAGATAAACCTCCATTCTCCAGCCTGGACCTCTCATGTACAGTGACAGCCGAGTGTGTGTATACAGGGCTGGCAGATCTGCCTATATTGTATTGGGGATGACTAGAGGGCCAATACTATGTTTTTATTACTTATAGATCATTGTTCATGTGCTCCTTTTAGTTGTGCCAATAAAGATCACCCAGAGCAGCTCATCATGGGTCACATTTAAAGAACAACTTTAAGGACCAAAATCCTTGCAGTGCGGTAGTAGTGTCACTGCAAGGGTTAATTTTTACTCTGCCTGGAGTTCTTCTTTAAAGCCTAATCGAACTTTCAGATCAGCTACACACATTCCAAGTGAATGAAAAACAAAAGGTGTTCAGAGCCTTCCTTTTCTTTACCTCCTACCCCCCGGCCCTTTAAAGTGGGCTGTTATGGCTGGTGGGAGGGAGGGACTCCTAATTGGCTGTACTTTGATGATGCAATCAGGAGCATGTCCTATGGTGACAGCACAGTCCAGGTTTTGGGGGCGCCAATTGAGTACGCTGACAAAACAGTTCAGTGACGCATGTATACGGCAGCATGGCATTAGTGCCACCTATGCTGCTTCATATATCTTTGAGGCTGGTGGCAAGAGGTTGAGTAATGTGTCCACTGCCAGTTGGCTGCAGAGAAGGGCACTCTCTGTGTAAGCAGCAGTCTCTCTGTAGATGTCCAACACTTCCCTTGATGGGTCACATCTATAACTCTGCAATCAGCAAAGCTCATTATCCCTGCTGATTGGAGAGATCTAGTTCTCACATAGCAGGGGGCATGTTGGACCTCTGCAAATAGATCTCTGCTTCCACAACTCCCCTCTAGTGTTGCATCACTGGAGGTGGGGGGCAAATGTAGTTCTGTCTGCACCCATTCACTACTATGGGGGGCTGGCAGAGGCCTGAAGCATGAGGTATATGCTGTACAGGAAGAGGTAGAAGCAGTTTTTTACTCTCTTAATGATGAACTTTTTGCTTGTTACAATGGAACTGCTGACTACCCATGGAAGATATGTAACAAACTTGGCTGCCTGGCTTTCTTTACTATAGTTTCAAGTGGTCCTCCCACTTACTAGATATAGAGGGCCTCAATCGCAGCCTCTGACATCACATCTGGAGATTGCTGCTATTACAGTCAATGGTCCCGTGTCTGTGCAAAAAAGACAAATGAAAAAAATACATGAGAAAAGAAATGGACAGTACATTTTCCTTCACTGACACTTAGTTCTCCTTCTGACATTGTAGGCGTCTCAGATCACATGACCCAGAGCCGAAGGGGAAGTCCAGAAAATATTTCTTATACTGTTGGATTACATGCAGATTAATGACAGGGGGCCCCATTCCCAACAAATCTGGACTTTTTGTTTAAAGCTGAACTCCAGCTATAGAAATTTAGATCCTGTAAATATATACACTGAGTGGCCAGATTATTATGACCACCTGACGTTTGTAGGCAAATTAGCTATAATTTCGCACTGAAGTTGCTAGAGGGCCAGACCATTATAAATAGGGAAGCAGGTTGTTTACCACGACAGTAGAAGTGATATTTTTCTGAAGATATGGGTAAACAACGCGATTTAACAGCCTTTGAACGTGGGATGATTGTTGGCGCTCAAGTCATGGAGCAAGTATCAGCAAAACAGCAGAATTCGTTTAATTTTTAAGAGCAGCTGTTATTAAAGTGTTTAAAGATTGGACTGTCAGCTGCAAATCTGGGTCTGAACGTGCGAATTGTGGCCGTCAGTGACTAGTCAATGTTAGGGCAGAACAGAGAGTGGCAAGACTGGTACAAGACAACAGAAGGGCAACAGTGCAGTGTCAGATTCCTTGCATCACCTTTCAACATCTCGTGGAGTCACGAGGCGGCCCAACAAAGTCATCTTGTGGAGTCATCTTGTGGCCCAACGAAGTACTGATGGGGTGGTCATAATATTCTGGCCACTCAGTGTATATAAATAATATCCCCGGCAGGGTTACAGGGGTTCTGTAAAACACGTAGTAGCTGCAACTACTACAGTGCATTACCGCAATCTTCCGGCTCCTCCTGAAGCTTCTGTGCTGAGCGACTTCCCCTCCTCTGTGAAAACACAAGGGGGGTGCTCACTGGCACAGCAGCCATTCAGCAAACACCTAGCATTTTTCTTAATACTAAGAATTTTCAATTGAATGAAGGGCAATGCTGTGAGGTCACCACCCCTTGTCCAATCAGAGAATGCCTAGTATTTATTAATAAAAGTACTAGGAGTTCAATAAATGGCTGCTGTGCCAAGCGACCTGCAGTGTTTTAAAAGCAGAGGGGAAGTCATTCAGCACAGCGGAAGTACAGGACCCGGAAGATCTACACTAAAGTGTTTTAAAGAATCCCTGTTGCCCTTCAAGGGATCATGTATACATACTTATATTGTACCATGCTGGACCAGTGCAAGTATATATAAATATTTATAACTGGAGTTCAACTTTAAATGCATAATATTGTTCAGCATGGAATATGTTTACTAACTTTGAGCTGAAAGAGATCATCGCTTTCAGGTTTCAGCTTTTGATTGTCCACAAGTCTGGCAAGGATTATCTTACCTTTATAATAGGTGAAGAACAGGAAAGTTGTTAAATATTAAGAAGTTACTCATTATTTCAGAAAAATATGCATCCATTAGTCCAGAGATCTTAATTAGCCTTTTAAAATGCCAGAAAAAAAACAACAATTTAGACATGTGCACTCTGTAAATAAATTAGCACTAATGAAGTGTGTGTCATGCGTAGGCTGCAGCATTTGTTATAACTCTCACTTTCAGTTTTACTTTACAGTATAGCAAGAGCTGAATGTCTGGTGTTGAGACTAAAGCTGGACATACACCTATAGATGATCTGCAGATTTTCTATGGTCAGATGGAAAAAGTGCAACACATTCCTCCATCTATGCTAAACTGTGTGGATGGAGGAATTTCCCACTGGGTCAAGCTTCAGTATCTTGCTAGTCGGCCCTGCTGGCTCTCGTAATACCTGAACAATGTCTGCATCCAATCAGATTGTTCAGGTATTTTGACAGCCAGAGGGACTGACTAGCAAAATACTGAAGCTTGGCCCAGTGGGAGATTCCTCCATCCACACAGTTTAGCGTAGATGGAGGAATCTGTGGCACTTTTTCCATCTGACCACAGAAAATCTGCAGATCATCTATAGGTGTATGGCCAGCTTAACACTTCCATACTGTACACTGATCATAGCACGCTGCTCACTGTGCATCTTGTCCATTGAAAAATCATCTTGCATTCTTTTCCTACATTGCATGGCATTCTGTGATTGGAGGAGGGGACATCAGGGTGTTCATCTGCATCTCCTCCAATAACGGAATGCCTTGCATCTTGTGAAAAGAGTACAAGATGATTTCTCAATGGATGAGCTGCAGAGTGAATGTCCCCCTATGATCAGTGGACTCCATCCAGAAGTGTAAGTCTCAGCACTTAGTATACAGTACAGGGTGATGGCAGTAAGAGTCACACACTTAGGACTCACTTCATTAGTGCTAATTTATTTATATTGTGCACATGCCAACATGCATAACAGTGCACATGCCTAAATATTGTTTTTGCTCAGATTTTAGCTTTAACTTTGGCCGAAGGGAAAATACAAAAATGAAATACAAATCTGAAAGCTTTTTCACCTGCCAAAGGATTTGTATTTCTGTCCATCCAGTCCTGAAATTTACATTGCTCTGCTCTGCCACACAGCACATCTCTGCCAGTTAAGTAATTTTTTCAGGTCTTGCATTTCCTTCGACCTGTGACTGGACACTAAAAGGAGAAGTAGAAGAGTGTGAGCTCATGTCTATGTCACTTTGCGCTCTCTTCCGCATGCTCCTTGTTAGCACACGGACACTGCGGCACACCTGACTGGCCCATTGTGCTGCTTCTCCCTCTCCAAGTCTGAGCTCTGCTGCAGTGCGCAGGAACTGCAATAGGCTGATAACAGTTTAAATTCGGATTCTTGCTCCAGATGCTGCTTGCATTTAAAAGATACAGTTAAGGATTTTGCAATGCATACAGAGCTGCATTCATTTCTTTTATATCTGCCTGGAGTTCAGAATCTACAGGGCTTGTCGGCTGACCAAGAAGAGTGTTTTTCATTTTAGTTTAGTGGAACTCCATTTTTGTTTGTGTAGTAACCCACAGAAAAACCTTTTGTTAAAACTTTTTAATATGTACAACCTTGCCTCCTCTGATATGTTTGAAATCTTAGCAAGAAACCCAACATTTTAAACTTTAATGCAGTTTGGATGAGCAAATGTAAAGTATGGTTGTCTGTTTTATGTTCCTACAAATCATTGTTCTTTTTAACGTGTGTGTGTGTGTGTGTGTGTGTGTGTGTGTGTGTGTGTGTGTGTAAATGTGGTGCACACTGTATATAGTATGTAGAGTAGGCTGTACTGATAAAAGTCACGTTTGTTGTCTGTCTTTTGCAGTTGCTTTAAAGCGTATGTTGAATTTTAATGTTCCTGTTGTAAAGAGCAGCACAGGCGAACCAGTATGGAAGGTAAGAGTTGTCCTGGGAAGTTTTAGTGTATGTCAAAGGTTCTACCTCATTCACATTTCTCTACACTCAACTCTGTTAAAGTTGTACCTTCATTAAAATGTTGTTTACATACCTCCCAAGAGGCCCTGTCTGTCTTCTTGATGGAAGAATGAGACCTCTATGCAAATCAAGTCTTCTGCGCTCTTATAGCAAGTCTGTGCTTTGCTCACTCTAGTCAGAGCTTGCATAGGACTGAGGACTCTCCTTGCCCCACTTGTGACATTGCTGGGTCAATCACCAAACACCAGTGCTGTCGCATGGAGTGAGTGACAGGGAAGTCAAAGAAAGGCAAGTATGTTTCTCTGGAATGGGGGTATTAAACCAAACCTGTCACCTTGTTCTTCATGGAAAAAGCACGACTTTGCTTTAAAGGAGAAATACGGAGAGAGTGAAATGTAGAGCTGGAGTGTGACAGTGCAGCTGTCACACGTGAGCTCTGTAAATCGAGAGCTGAACGATGGCAAACCACTGATCACTCAGTTCATGATCTTCTCCCTGCATAGAATTGTGACTGTCATTCACTGCTCCCGGCAAGGATTCCCCTCTCAATTCCTCCAGCACTCATTGGAGGGGGTAGGCACAGCTGGCTCTGCCTCTAGAGAGACAATATTGTCGGGATCCTTCCCAGCTGCCGGGCATCTCTTCGCTGATAGGAAATAGTGGGCAGTAGGCCAATATATGCTGACTTTGGGGTTCAAGGAGTTGATTAGTTAATGTCCTCCTGTGACCCAAAAGAGAACCAAAGCCTAAAAAGGTTGACCATAGTTCACTTTTTTTAAAGTGTATGTTACCCTATTTAACCTACCCTATAGGAAACGTTTCTCAAACAAACAAAATTTTAACAGTGAATGTGGTTTCCGTTCAGCAAACTCTTTTCATTTCTGAAATTGAGTGTTAAAATCCACCAGAATTTTGAACAACATTCTACAAGTCTCTGATGGCATTATTGAATGTTCTGATGAGTTTTCATATGAACAATTGTCAATGTATGACCAGGTTAACAATATTGGAATATGCACCACATGAAGTTTTTCTACAAAGAGCCCTCAAAGCAATTCCCTTTATGTCACACTCAGCCCTGCAGTCTTGTTGATTCTTTTCTATTAGTCTAAATTATTTGCCGGTCAGCACTTTGCAGTCTCTGACATTTTGACTGTGCTATTTGTTTTCCATACAGGATCTCTTTGTCCTTGTCATGCCTGCCTGCTACATGTTTCACCCGCTGATGTTCCCTCATCCCTTCCCATAGCATGCAGTAGAGTGCTTTCCATCTTTTAACACTGCATTTTGTAGTTACTTTACCTGTATCTCATGATATGCAATCATTATATGCAATGGCATGCAATCATTTATCATGTCACTGTTCATATTAATGTAGAATATAATAGCCAATATACTTCAATTCACATGAAGTGAAATGGACAGTGAGAACGGAGTTTATCAAAACTGGAGCAGACAGAATTTGGAGCAGTTGTCCATAGTAACCAATCAGCTGCTATCTCTCATTTTCAAAGCTTAACTGAACAAACAGAACAAAGGAGCTGATTGTTTGCCGAGGACAACTGCTCCAGAATCTGTCTACTCCAGTTTTCATAAATTCCTCACTATGTCAAATCCAAACTTACTAAGGGCCATGCCGAGGGTTGTGAATAAAATCAGGGGCCGGACATAAAGAAGATTTTTTTTTTTTTTAACCCTGCTGCTTGCCGTGGTACAAAGCTCTGGCCCACTAATCATTATATGACAGCCCTGGTGTCCTGTGTGTGAGGGCACTACAAGTGTCAGCAGTCCCTTTCCTTTAAATGGACAGGGACTGCTGACACTTGTAGTGCCCTCACACACAGGAAACCAGGATTGTCATATAATGGATAGGGACTGCTGAAACATGTGCCTTCACATGCAGGACACCAGAATTGTCATATAATGATGATATGACTTGTCTGATGTCCTGTGTGTCAGCAGTCCCTGTCCATTATGACACTCCTGTATGTGAGGGCACATTAAATGGACACGGACTGTTGACAATCGTAGTGCAGTCACACACAGTCAGTCCCGGATATGCTCAGCAAGACTTATCAGTAGCTGCTGAGACCAGAGGTAGAGGAACATGCTGGCGATGAGAAACCCAGATGAGTGGCCCAGGAGGGAGGTGTGGCCAAAGACCAAAAACGTGTATGTGAGAAGAAACCTGCGGCCCAGGAGGGAAGTGCAAAGAAGAAAAGTAGAGGTTCAGGGTCCTCCTAGGGCGGCCAGCTGAGTTGCCACTCCAAGCGCTGGCTAGTAAAAAAAAAATTAAAAATGAACCCTGCTTGCGGGGTACTCGGCTTGGGACCCTGCGTGCCTAAGAAAATCTTGTGGTGGGCTGTGTATTTGACATATGTGCTCTGGAGGAGGATTTTCCTTTCATAGTGATCTTTAACAGTCCTTCCAGCAGTTAGTAATGTTAGGATTAGCTTAGTATTTCTTCTTTCTAGGCAGTAAACATTTTAATAGAAATGTGTTGGCTTCATCCATTTGAAATGTTTCTTACTTTTCAGGTCCTTATTTACGATCGCTTTGGCCAAGACATTATCTCACCTCTGCTCTCTGTGAAGGAACTGAGAGATATGGGGGTCACTTTACACCTGTGAGTGGATCATTTCTTCTTTTGTTGTTAATGAACATATAAATAGGGAAGGAAGGTTTAATGAAAACTATGCAAAATATTGTGAAGGAGGGTCCCCTACTCTTCTATATTAGCGAAAGGTACACATTTCCCCAAGAAGAGGATCCCACCATTCCTTCAAAATATGTGACAGATATTTATAAAAATATATTTATTTGTAGAAATACTAAAAATGTATATATGACAAAACATATCCAAAATAATATATTTAAAAAACACACACACACACACACACATATAT